AAATTTTTTACTTTTAAAATCTGTATGATAATCAATCCCTTTTATTTATAATATATTTCTGTGCGTAACGAGTTGAAATAATATTTTTTGGACACCAAGAGCTCGTTACATAACCTATTCGTAGTAAGTTCATAGCGATTTACCATTGTGACATTTAACACGTGCGTGTCATATCGTTTGATAAACCAGGTTCTAAATAGTTCCTGGTAGAAAGTGTACCTTTCTACGTCGTTGAATAATTTTTTACACTCATATACGTTTGCCGTAGAATTTTTATTAAAAACAAGAGATATTATTTGTCAGATGATTTTTGGTGTATATACAGACATTCTTCTGCGAAAGATAAATCGTAGATATTGAAAATACGAATATTTCACGTACAACGAGGAAAGTTATTGACTTTAATTCTTTTTTTCTTTTTTTTTCCAAATTAAAGCAGCGTTTACGATAGGAAGTTTTTCGAAAATCATATATCTTTTGTTTGTTGAATTAAACAACACAATATTTATGCTGGGTACTTTCTAAAAGAAAAAAAATATTGTAGATTATATTGTTTTGATATAATTTATGACAAACAAATTATTAATTAACAAAAGTCCTCTAGTATAATGAACCGTTTTATACATTTTTCTGATTCGATTTATTTTTTTCTTTTCCGATGATATTTCATCAATTCTAAATTCTATCATTTTATTTTTAATTATATTGCACAGTTCTTCCCTATCAGTGTTTTTACTGTTCGTTATTTCTAAACTGGTCATTTTGTGGCCATTACGTTATTGCAAGGAGGAGACTTTCTCTTCAAAATCGCATTAAGTATGCGCTGTTGACACAACTATTAAATTCTTCGTTTCATTATCCCATTCCTGGAAATAATGTAACTTGAAGTACAAGCGAATAGTTTTTCATTTTTCAATTAAAATCTGACCAAAGTTGATGCTCAATCGTTTTTTAAATCTATAAATTAAAATTAAATTCAACCGAATGATTAGATGTACAATTAAATTCTGGAATAATTTCCGATTGTAGTCAGTTTATCCCTTTGTTGTGTGTGTGTTGTAAGTATCTATTGTTATTTTTCCTTATTTTCAGTGGGGAGTGAAACATTTCAATTTCGAGTTTTGATCCTCAAAACAGATGGCACATATCGTAGCATGAGTCAGAAACGTTGATGTCAATATCTCGTCGTTGCATGTCGGATAAGGTAGTTGCCTTTAAGTTTAGGTACAAGCGGGAGCATACTTTTTTTCCCCCCAGGAAATAGTGTTTACACTATTCGGAGATATTTTTCCTGCGATGAAATTACAAGAGAAATACGTGTTCGTTGGAAATTTCCAATACGAAGGAAGCACATGAAAAATATACCCATTAACAATGGTGGGCGTTATCCGCTTTGCGATAAGCACACGAATATTGAGCACACGAAAAATAAGTGTATGTGGCATAAGCTAATCCTAGAAGAAAACTTAAGTACGATACGATAAATGAAACTTTAACCAACGTTAGATTTTGCTAGTGGAAGATCAGGATTCTTGCACCAATAATTTATCAACTAATATATTTTATATTATGTTAATAACATATTGAAAACTTGTGAGTTGTAGATTAAATATTTCTTCTTTTTTTTATTTTTTATATAATATAATATAATAATAATATAATATAAATATAACATAATATAATAAATTTTTTATATAATATAATATAATAATAAATATAATGAAATAATCAGATAATATGAAAATTTAAATTATAAAATTTGATATTTTTTACTATCAAACTTATGATTGCAAAATTTTAGTAACAATGGTGCAATGGTTTCGTGTATCATACTGAGGAGAAAGAAAATTTTTTAATCTTTATTTTCTAAAGAATTTATTTCTTTATCTTTTTAAATCATTTCTTGTGTTGTCTTTTGTATCCACGTGTAATTTCGACTTTACACCTTACAAACATAGGATACATACAAAATACGATTGATTCTTTTGAAAAATACACGATTCACTTCCTTATCCATACCTCTGCTAATTTGAAAATTAAAAATTTTGATAAACGACAAAATGGCCGCTTTACATATGTATATATGTATGTAGGTGCAAGCTGAGACCAATGTCAAGGTAAATTTTAGTCTCATTGCATGATGTTGTCATACAACCAGATTTATCCTTACGCATGATACTATAAGAGATTTACCTATGTCTCGCTACATGCGGTCAGACAGCAGGCATATGTTTGACTTTCGTAGATTGGAATAAATGCACGCATAATCTTACATTGCAATACAACTTTCTTTCTAATTATCATGTTTTTTTTTTTATTGCAAAATATGCGTAATATGTTATATGATAATTGAACAACGAGAATAGCGATTATTTTATTATTATGTTATTATTTGACAATAATAATACTTATTATTTTCTAATTATGATTTTTGTTAAAATTCATCAAGTAGGAATGAAAATATATCTAAAGCAAAAATGTTATTGGTGAATTAGTAAAATTGTTACTTCCGCTTGAGCTCCATTCAGCATATATGTATACCAGGGCATGCTACTACTGCGCAATCGTGATTAAAAAAGTTGGGATATTAGAATAAACGTTGCCCGATCGTTTAAAATATTCGTAGTAAGAAAATATATAACGTATAATGTAGTAAGAAAATAATTAATTTCAATAATTTTTCGTAATTGAAAACAATGAATGCATAGACGAGACAAGGAATTACAATGAAATTATTGGAATAGACACACAAAGTTATAATACATAGTTCATAAATTCAACATAATTTAAAAAAAAAAGGATTCTTTTTATTTAAATGCATATACATTATATATTTTTAATCAAGCTTGCTAAATTACTCGGGGGAAAAAATTCATTTACATGTTCCTTTACCGACCGAGTCAACAGAATTTGTTGAACTGGTTACGCACAGATGGCAGTATAGTCATCGTGTTGTAGTTCATTCTAACAATACATTCTAAATAATACATATCGATGTACATATATTTCGTATTAAAATTTATTAGCATTATCATTTTCCTTTCCTATCTTATATTGCATATATTGCATGTGCAGTCTAAAATATCCATTTACTGCGCTATGTACACGTGGCATTGAACGCAAAAATAAATCTATATATATGTTGAATACTTTCGTTTCATGCCATCACGAGGGTTTTATATTTTATATAAAAGAACAGATTATAAAAATAGTCTAATATCCCCCTCAAAGTGAAATTATGTTGACTGATTTTAAGGCATGTACGCATTTACAATTAAATATTAACCATACTAATATTATATTATACCATATTAATATACTAAATATAATAATAAAATTTAACTTTGGAAAATTATATTTTTCATAGTCTGTTGTACCGTACATTGTTATTCAGACATTTTAAAGAGAAAGTGCTGCGATTCATAGGATTATGGGTTTTCTGTTTCATGCTCACGTGTTGTTCGACGAACCACGGTCGAGTCCCCGCTCTTGACCACGGTGTCTTTCTTGGTAGTTGGATGTCTCAAAGGACACAAGTTGGGTCGTTTCAGGGTTAGAACGCAATAACGTATAAGATAGCGACACTAAGGGTAGCCAGGGAGAGGGGTTGGGGGGGGGAGAAATGGTCGGAGGCGGATAAACGTACGTCTGAGGAGAAATGGCAAAGGGGTTTGAGAAGGGAGGGTAATTGAATGTAAGAGAGAAAGCGATACGAAGGGTAAAAGAGCGAGTTGAACGGCTACGCAAGGGGTGGTAGGTCGTTGCCCGGCTGGGGGAAAGGGGAAGACCGGTAAATATCGACCTTCCCTTCACAGAGACTCTCTGTCTTCATCCAGACATACGTTGGCTGGCATTACTCCTTTCCTCGGCGTTTGCGACCAGCCTTTTTTCTCGCAGGCTTGTAACCTTCTACCGAACGCCCACGTAGAGAGGCCGAGTACTACTGCTCTCACACTACAAGATCTCCATGCTACCTTTCCAAGGTCAACGGCTTGAGGGCTCAAAGACCCCTGGAAACCGACTTCTATGGTCCGTGAGCACCTTCTGTGTCTGCTTTCCTTTCGTTTCTTGTCTTTTCTATGGAATCTCTGTTAGCCATGTGTGCATTTTTGGTCAATGTCGAATATCTACTGAAGGTCTTTCTCGACTATCTTTGGGTAAATCCCCGCCCTTGAGAATATTACAAGCGAAAATCTAAATCTTTATTTCCTTTTGAATAATATCTTTCGTGCAAATAGTTTCGGCAGGGACTAGTTTTCTCATACCGCCAAGTAAATGGCGGAACGAAAATTTTTCCACGAAAAATTTTCCTTCGAAGGTCTTCTCCATAAGGCACAATTAACAGTAACAACACAAATAACAGTAAATCAGTTGTGTACTTTGGAAAAGTTTACAACCGTACCTGGTTTCCTTGAATTCTTTTGGCAAACATGAGTCAGTGGCTATGTTTTCACCAGAGGACTTCGAACTACTACGTCTCGTCTGGGCGAAATGTTTGAACCGAGACAACCAAAAGTTGCCGGAGGTTACAGGCCTTTCCCTTTTTCCTTACCCTCTTCGTAGAACATTTCGTACGTCTTCGGCGCACAGTTTGCCTCTCACCCCCTGAAATTCTTTAGTTTCTTCTACCTAAACGACCCAGACGGTTTCCCCCGTCTTTTTGTCTGCTTGGACTCCATTCTATGTATGTCTATGTATGAAAATATGTGTACTGCGCATTATGCCACAAAGCAAAAACGAAACGTATGTGTTGTAGGCGTAGATACTGATTTTTTGTTCGATGTTTAACTACAGAAAAAATAAAACCCTTGCATGTTTATGATTTCATGCCAAACGACTGTTCCTCGTCATTGTTTCAACGTTTTGTACGCAAAGATTTTTAATCGTTGCAGAAATTATCGTATTTTAAAAATTATAACGTTACGCATTTGATCGGAAGATAAGTATCTTTTTATTATATTGAGAATTGAAATTTAATTTTTTAAATATTACAAAAACAGGATTATACAGAATACTTTCAATGCGACTGCATTTTTAATAATAATTCAGTAATTTATATATATAATGCTTTTACAATTACATCGAATTGTGAGAATAATGACTATACGTTTTTTTGAAATTACACAATGGAAGTTCTACTTAGAACCTTAAATTTCGTATGCCTTAAAGTAAGTACGTCAGCTTAGCATCAAGATTAAAGTATTTCAGAGATGTTTATCGTGACCTAGGAATAATCGAAGGACAAGAACCCTAAGAAGATCGTCATTAAATTTTTAATATATTAGTGTAATGCAACTATTCCTTCAGCCCTATTGTGTCCATTGTTAATGGACGAGCTTTGATTTTAGATCTCATATTTTCGTTACATTTCCTCGTAAGATGTAGGTCACGCAGTCCTCTTCTTGCACCTATCCTAGACAAGCGAATCTAGGCTGTGGGCAGTACCACCGAGTACATATAGGTATCGATCGTTGAACGGCGTTGCTGCAGCCTGGCCTGGTGCACCGGCGAAACTGGGTTACCTACCTAACCTATACACATCATTCGCGGATCTCGTTCCTCGTTTAAACGAAGCCAAGCACGTCTCTATATTCACACGGTGTTTCTTCTCTGTTTCCACACGTTCGTGCATTTTCGCCCACGCGTGGAACACACTCGTGCATCTTCGTAACTCGTCACTCGTCACTCTGTTCTTACTTCCTCTGCTTCATCGTCTTGCTTGATTGCCGTTAAGAAATCTACTCTCCCCACTGTCCCTTTTCTTACGGCAATCGAAGAACGTTCTTCGTCGTTGGTAGCGACACACACAACACACACACACACACACATTACGATCATATAGATGTTTTGACTCATTAAATCATTATTTATTGTTGCTCACAGAAGAGAAACTTGAACTACAAATGATAAGATTTCATCTACTTTGTCGTGCTAATTCAATGAAGGGAAAAAAGTGATTCATACAATTGTTGAAAATTAGTTTTAGAAAATATGTTCGAGTAAAAGTTAACTATGACACAAAGATTGCTGAATAACTGAATCTTTGTATTCAAATTTCACTTTCAAATTCAAATGTAAGAAATATTGATATAAGAAAGATATTTTATAATTTTATTATAAAAATACGATAGAAAATATCGTGTATATGATCTTCAACTTTACATCTTCAAATTTAAAAAAATTGTTTAATTATAAGAAAATATAATTGGATTGAAAATCATCCAAATGATACAACAGGAAAAAATATGCAATATTGATAGGAAATATTTATTACGTGTAATTTAGATACTTTCGTATTTAAATTAAGATTTCGATGTAGGTTCTAACATACATGGCATAGAATTATAGTATTTGGAACATGCAATGCAGAACAATATGGAGCATCATGTGCGTAGTTCTTCTTTAAAATATGCTTCATTTTTTGCGTAGTATAATAAAGTATAAAAGTATAAAAGTGAGATTTTTGTAGAGTAATATAATTAATTGTAAATTTTACAATTAATTATATTACTTTTAATGTTGATGTGCATAATTTATTTATACGAAATGCATCGGCATATGTAAATATATCATGGGTATAATTTCATGATTGTGAGAATTTGAGTAATATTTGAATAATATACAAAAAATATTTATGTTCCGTTATATTAGATGCATAAATAATTTCATTTGAGCAGTATAAATTTAGCAATTTCATTAATGAAATGAAAATTAATAATTTTGTTAGAAATTAATTCCTATTTATTTATATCGATTATTATCGATTGAGTTTCTGGAAATTCTGGAACGTTGCTGTATCTTGTGTCATGTATAAGTACATTTGATTCTTACAGCATACAAAGTATAAACAGACGGGTGTGACATCGTGGCAAAGTTAAGGCAAATGGACTATATGCGCGCATGCACAAGGCTGCACGTCACCTTACCCTCAAGTGTCGTGGGGCTGCGCCTACTGCATTCATGCGAGTTGAAGGGTCTGCCGTGTCGATGTCCATTACGCATGCGCAGGGCTTTGCACTCTGTCCACTGGCCTGCGCACGCGGCCGTACCTTCGACTCTCAGTGTGGGTTTGGCGTTTGACTACTTTTCAGGGCCGTATTAAAATACATGTATTCAATAGTTAACGAAATCTGAATTCTTCAATTATTCGTATAAAATAGCAGATTCAATTCTATTGAATTGTATTATTTAAAATACATTTTACGACACGATCAAACTCTAATCACATATTTATATTGGAAGTAAAAATTTGTTGTAAGACAATATACATCAATACTTACTTCTTTTGACGTATATTCGAACATAATAAAATTTTATTATTGTAAGTATAAAGCAGGAAGCCAGTACTTAACATTCTATGTATTTGGCCATTTTTAAAAATTATTTGACATATTTTGTATTATTTTTTCAACAAATAACAATTTACAATCGATTCTTTGTCGAGGATGATTTAAATGTACGTTTATAAATATCAAGAAAAATCAGTTGCGTGAAATCACGAAATAGCATAGGGTACTTCTAAAATCAATGCACGATCCTGTCGCTCTTTAGTTGCAGAGTGAAACGGGTAGGGAGCCACGGGTCGCGTTTCGTAGGTCGTGCGAGAAGGACTATCCTGCATCAGTCTACGCTGCGTCCCTTGCAAAAGGGTACGCTTGTCTTCACGTCTTCGTTGATTTATCTCTCCCCTCTCCGAGTGCTCACGTTACTCAGCTATAAACGCGCATACTTTAAATATACGTACGTCGATTGTAATATCGAACAAGGGCCCTTGAAAAAGGACGATATTTTCGAGGACAACCTTATGGTGTCCATATAAAGAATTTCACGCAACCTAGGAACTGGACTTGACGCCGTTTCGGCTTCGTCGATTTAATAATTCTTCTGTTCAGCTTGAAGTTCTACATTCTCGTATATATTTTCTTGCATACTTAACGTGCGCGTGCTAATCGAATTTCTCCCTAGTATTAATAAAATCTCCGTGTTGTGCATTGTACTGCGAATAATTTACTTCTTTACCTTCGAGCGCTATTTATCGCGTTCATAAATCTCGATCCGGAGGGAACTACATAGAACGCGCGCGACTCGGTACTTTTCGGCACGCGGCCGAATCCCTCCGATCATCAAGTCTCGAGACTTCCCTCGAGTGATCCCAATAGTTAAAGAAGCGAAAACGTGCGAAGAAAATTTGGAAAATAAGATTTTATCTGCGGGACGAACTCCTCTAGTGACGTTGAAATAACTCCGTTTTAGTGGTAAATTTACTGGTGGACATAACCTGCATGTGCTCCGTGAACAGGAAATTTCCTGTGGCAGGAGTGGGCGGTGCGAAGAGGGAGACGCCGGTCGAGCCTTAAATATCGATTTTGGCATGGAAGAGGTACGATAGTCCGTCCGTTTCAGCGTGTCTCTACCGTTGTGTATCTGCACGTTGAAAGGTTTTGACAGTTGAACGCTGGTGTATATTACATCAAGAGGAGAATCGCGTGCATCGATACGAAACAAAAACAATATGGTGGCGCGATATTTTCTGGAGAGAAATTGAATTCCATTTATAAACGATTATATATCTCGGATGATGAAATCTTACGAGTGAATTCGTTTCTTTTTTATTTTTTCTATTATTTTCGAAAAAAAGTGTCGAATGAAAAATGTTGTTTCCCGATCATCACGTGTGCAGACATTTCATCTATAAAACACGTCTCAGGCAGGAAAATTCGGTGACTATCGATCGATCGTATCACTAAATGGTCGGTCAAGATATATTTTATTCCTTTCGTTTTAGTATTGTACTAATGGAAATTCTACCATTCTTCAAGTATTTTTACATCCGACAAAGATCTAATCTGCGTTCTTTCTGGTCGTGAAGAATTTCCGTTTTCAGACATGTTTTATGACGCATTTCGCGTTGAATACCTTAATCAGTGAATCAGTGAACATCGTTTTGAAGAAAAAAAATTAAAATAATTATGTACGTACGAATAAAGGAAATATTATGAATGTTTAAAGAAAATCAAAAAACGAAACGAGGAAAAGAAGAATCAACAATACTGCCAGCATCTTCAAAGGAAATCTCTCGTGACTCTCTGCCACAGGGCGTATTCAACTATCATGATAGACGAGCTTCGTTCATAAAGCCCTGTGTTATATTGCCGATCAAGTAGATGATGACATCATGGTGCACTATTGCCGATGGAGAGATTCGTGGACAACGAAAGTAGTGTCGGTTAAATATCGATGAGCTGTTTGCACTTGATACTATTGTCTATTCAATGTACTCAACCTGTTAGTAGCTTTATGCTCGTCAACACAACAAAAACGAGGAGAAAAATAAAAAAAATTTATTTTTACGACACAGCTAGCAGAAGAAACGTGTTTTTATACGATATACCATTTAAGAATATAGATGAATAAACACGTATGAGATTGCACTGCTCCAATGGTAAAAAAAGTTGGTCGGTAAATTTATGCAGAATTATTTTTAATTATTACATTTGAAAAAAAAAACCAATTGCTCGAATCCTGATGAATTCGTTGAAAAAGATTTTCGAAACGATCGACGAAAGCAGTTCGTTTTGATCGATTCCTTATTGGGCAAGGCGGTGTATAAACCATTGACGCTGGATAAGAAAAAAAAAGTACCTCAGGAAGAATGGTTTCGAGATATGGCGTCTCGAAGGAGGGCGCAGTGGGTGTAGCCGTAGGTGTAGGACCTATGCACTGTATCTTACCACATTGTGGAGGGCCTCATCACCATCATCATCTTTCGGCCCCCCATCCACAAAATCCACAGCCAGGTCACAATCACCACGTGCATCCGGCCCATCAGCCACCACCCTCGCCGAGTCCCCACTTGAATCATCAGCTGAGCCATCATCAATTGACTGTTAACATTAATCATTTGAGTCATCAGCAGCAACAACAGCAACAAACCCAGCATCAGCAAGCACCGCCACAGTATCGAGTTGTTACTGCAAATGCTAGTAAGTACAAGAACAACCAACTGAGGGTGGGAGAGAGAGAATGATGTTGAAGATTGCACCGATGGTTTTACAAATATTTTCCGTAATGTTTATTCAAAATAAAAATTTGTCCTTTTTATAAAATTATGAGACTATTTGAAAGACCTATTTTATAATGACGTAAAAAATCAGTTCGTTTTTTTGACATGTATATTTCAAGTAAAAAATTCACACACAATGAATTGTATGATAATTGAACGATCTATTAAGAATTCAGTGACTGAATATATTTATTGGTAAAGCAATATTATTTTATTTTACAAATTTATTGATCAATTCATAATAAAGTGACTGCCTAATATTTAGATTAATTTTGTGTGCGATTGTAGATATGTATATATATATATAT